ATATATATATATATATATATATATATATATAATGTGCACAAATATGTACTGAAATTTTTTACAGCATAAACAAATAATTAGTAGATTGATCATAAAATTTCCAGATTACATAAAAATATAAAAGTATTACACACACACACATATATATATATATTGATAAAAAAGTTAAAAGAAATGTTAAGAATGGAAGAAATAGATAGATTTAAGATAGTTGAATTACCTTTGTTTGTATAATGAATAAGTGTTAGAAACTAAACCCAAGAAATATAATACCATAAAAAGTAACTGCTAAAATACAAAGTTAATTTTGAAAAGGATTTTTTTTCCTCAGTCTTAAAGAAAAAAAAATGAAAAAATGTGAGATATAAAACCTTACAATATATATATATATATATATATATATATATATTTGTAAATAAAATTCTTAAAGTAAATCAGAATGAAATTATATATAATTTATAAATACTCTACAAAATATTATAAAAGTACTATAAACATAAGACTACTATAAGTCACTAAAAAGAAGGAAAATTTACTTGGTTCTAATTTATTCAATCTCTCTATTTTTTTTAATGGAAATGAATATTAAATAATTAAAAAAAGTTAAACCATAGATAAGTGTTTTGATTTAGTAAGTTTTTAATTACCTTATTTTATGAGTGAGTAATGTTAAGATCAAATGTCTATACTCTGATCAACATCCAATAGTACCAAGTAATCATTCTAAAGATTTCATCTACAGACTATAAATATTCTAATACTCATTATAAAAAGTCAATGCTAAAGAAGGAGAATCAAACATTTTAATATTTCATATTATTAAATGAGGACTAAGACATTAATTCCTATTTCACTTTTTTTATTACATCATCAAATTCTTATAAACAACACACCAGTACAATAAAAGACTCTACAACATTTAGAACATGTATTCAAAATCTTAATAACAATAGTTTGTCTAGGATTGCAAGTTGTGCAATATAAATTTATGCAAACAATTAGTTAATAGACAAATTTTTATCAAATTGCATGAAAATTTGCAAAAACAAAAAAACATGTAAAACTAGAAAAAAAAAAGTAACTTAAAATTGGAAATAAGGAGAATATTTGTCAATTAACTTCCTTGTATTAAAAGAGTTTTTTTTTTCCTTCAAATATGTTGAAATTAGACATCACAGCAAATCCACCACACAATACCACCTAGGTCCAATTTCATATAAATAAAAAATATACCAAAGAAGATAAAGTCACACTATAAAAAGCCTAATATATCCAAATAGAGCAAATTCACCATTAAAAACTGGATGGAACACACAACTCAAACACCACCCCCTAACTCATATATCCTCATCAACAATTCAGTAACAAAACTCAATAAAAAGAAGATTACACCAAATTATCTATATAGTAAATGATTAAAAAAAAACTTTTTAAATATTTTGAAATTTTCACCTCCATTACAACCTATTTCAATATTAATAGCTAAGTAAAAGAAAAATAATTTAAAATTTTTAAACAAAACTCAACCCCCAAATTTTGCAATTAAATACATAAATGAAAAGGTACCTTGACATAAGAATGAAGAGGAGTTTGAAGGCACAAATTGTGGGTGGTGCAACTTCCGGTGACCAAGTGGTAGCACATGGCGGTCGCGACTAGATTCTTGCAAACCGGTGAGGAAAATGTCTATGCACATTTTTTTTTTTCATTTTGTCTTTTTGAATTTAATGATTTTCTTACATAAATGTTTCTTCACAGTTTTTGGAAGATCTTTGCTAATAAAATAAATAAATTTTACAAGCAAAAATAATGTCCAGCAGAAAATCAAAGCAACCTAAATGTGGGGGTTATAAATATTATAAGCATTATAATCTTCTTTTATCATATATCATATCACAAGTGGAAAAAAATCTTATAAATATTTATTAATTATGTGCATTGTGGTGGTTTTTTAAATGTATCACACAAATTATATAATGGATTGTTTTTTTAATAAATTTACCAAATAGTTTTTCTCGTATGGCTACATTTTCTTTGCCTTTTATTTTTTATCCTTAATGAAATCAATAATTTACACCTTAAAATGCTCCCAAAAGTCAGAGTACTGAAAATTAGCAGAGAAATTACGGCAAGCATTCACATTGGAGAGATTTAAAGAAAATAAAAGCAAATGTATATAGACAAGAGAGACATCAGTAAAGAATAAATCATTTTTCTAAATAAAAATCAGGAAACTAGGTGAAGATCTCCTTTTGAAATGTAGTTCTTCACCAAGAAATAATCTTTTTTCAATCATAACTTGTGGGCACATGCACCAGAAGCAGCTTTCCAGATTTTCTGTATCAATTTCATCCTTGAAATCAACCATTTACCTGCTTAAATTAATTAACCATGGCATAAGTCTGATATGATAAACCAGGTTTCAGTTCCAGAGATCTCACAGATGAAGCTATACAACGAACAATGATCGCCACCAAGAAGAACTACCTGCAAGTCCTAGCACCTTGGTCAGCATTCAAACTATATATATCAAGATTTTATTATATGATATAACATTAGGTAGCACTAAATTACATAATATGATTATTATGTGTCACACTGAACTTACCTCGACGAACACGAAGACGAGTTTCTTGGAAATCAAAGTAGGACCGTGTCCAATCTAGGACTGAACGAATAGGCCTGAATGAAGCCAAGTGGTTCCAAATCCAGTTCAAGCTGTTTGAGAAATCTTCAAAAGCAAACCTCAGGTCATTCTCATCGCTTTGGAAACTGTAATTAGCATTAGGAGTAACCACACCTTGTAGCTCGTATCGGCATACGGGGCAAGTGTTGTGCATGCGCAGCCAAGGGATGATGCAGTCAGAATGGTAGAAATGATTGCATGGCAACTCTCTGGCTTCCATGTCGAGCTCAAACTCATCTTTGCAGATTGGGCAATTGGGATCACTACCCAAATGGGTTTGTGTCAGTTTCACCATTGGCAATGCTGCAATGGCAGAAGATGCTGCAGGAGGTGGCCCTGGTCTGTTATTGTTCTGAATCATTCCATCGATGAAGTCATCTAATAACGTGTCGGTGTCATTGGTCGGAGGAACCATGTTTTGTGGTGGGGAAATAGGCCTAGGTGCAGGAGTTGGTCTTGGAAATCGGAGTGTGATCCAAGCCTGAGAATCTGCACCATGTTCATTTTCTGTTTCCCATGTGGTTGTGTTGAAATGGTTGTTGTTTTGCCTCCTTAGAGGTGGATCAAGAATGAGGGCCAAGTTATGCAAAAGTTGAGTAGCTGGTGAAGGTTGCAAGTTATTTGGCATGTTCATGAGAAGCCTTGGCCTTGAGATATCAAGCTCGTAACGCAGGTGGTGGAAGCAATAGGGACATGTAGAACCATCGTTGTTTGTAAAGGGTATCCTCACGGTTCTTTGGCAGTACAGGCACCAGAAATAGTGAAAAGTTCTTGTTCTTCTGACCCCATTCACAACTATACGAGAACGACCTGTTAGAGACATGTTTTGAGGATAATAAGGTTGCTGTGTTTTGAGGAAGAAGCGAGCTTTTTTTGACAGAAACAACATGGAACTGTTATATGTATTGCGTGTGAAGGAGAGAATGACCTAGGATTGGAGGCACAAGAAAGGGATTCCTTTGCCTTTGTTGCTATTGATGTTTGGTTAGTCATATAATGTCATGCAATCATGGTTGCTTTTCTTGGTAAACTGTTTCTCCATTGCACAAGGCAAAGGATGCTTGAATGATAATGGCAAGTTACAGAGAGCTTTTGGCTTCCTTGAGGGTTTGTAGATACATGTGATGCAATACTGTATTAAAGCTTTTCTTTATGGATGTTTAGTAGCAACCCTAAACTAGATGCAAAGTAAAGAAGTATTTGATATAACTTAAACTTTTTTTAGTGTTTTTTGTAGATTTTTTTTATCAACTATAGAATTTGAGAAGGAATTTTTAATTTTAAAAGTTATTTTTATTTATTTTTGTTTACACTAAATTAATATAAAATGTGTATACAAATAGTAGTTCACACTAAGTTAATCTAAAGATGTGAGAATTTTATTGGTGAAAAATATCAGTTTAAATTTATCGAATAAATTTACTTTTAAATTTAAAAACTTTTGTCTTATCTTTACTTTTAAAAATGTCTTATAAACTAAAAAAGGTTTAAAAAAACTTTTAGAAGTTAACTTAATTACTTCTGGTTCATTAATAGACTGAGGGATAGGGATAAAGTAAAAAAAAAGACAAATAAATAATTTAAGTAAAAGAATGTGTTAACTGGATTAATATCATCAAGTAAATAATTAAATATGTGGATTTATTTTTATTTGTTAAATATTAAAAGGTGAAGAATAAAGAATAAATAATAAAATTAATATTTATGTTATTTTAAACAGATACAATCCTATCTTTAATTGCATTTAAGATTATATTGATTTATTTAAGATGTCTCACGTTGTTGTTATGATTAGAAATTTAAGTATAAATTTAAGTTTAAAAACAATATACTTAAATATTAAATAAGAAAAAATATTGATAAATTTATTATTTAAGATTTTTTTATTAGAAGATGTTATTTTGATATATGAAGTTGACTTATTCTCCTAGTATAAACAACATGAGTGTACAATTTTTAAGCAACCCTAAAATTAGAGTAACATTACAAAAACTCATCTCAACAAGTTATTAATTACATAGGAGGAACAATTAACACGGGTGGATTTGTTAGAAGGAGAAAATTTCAACTTTGTACAAAAAAAAAATACATTTTTAAAATATAAATTAAATAGATCTCATCAAAGAAGATAATTAGTAAATATCTTCTATTGATCAACATTCTAGGAGTTGGATATTCCTTTCATATTTACACAGTCATATCCAGAACTATTACTTACAACATTTTTTTAAAATTCGTTTAAATAATTTAAATAAATCATAATATTTGAAATATTGTCTTAAAACTTAAAACCATTATCATAATTTTATATTTAAAATATGTCTTAAATAAAGAAAAAAAAAAGATTAAATTGACTAAGCATAATGATGTGGAATTATTGGGATACATAAAACATTTATACTTACAATACAATGCAAGTGCACTAATTATACTTACTTTTAAAATATGTTAATTAGTTTTGTTAAAATGATTACATTGATTTTGAAAATATTAATTAATTTAAAAAAAATTGTTGCATTCAACATAATTATTACTAGAAAAAATACAAAGACTTTATACGTCTATCTATTATATCGACATTAACAAATATTAAAATAATACATTTTAAAAAGTTACCTAATTAAGTAAAACTAGTATTGAAAATTGTGATAATTATTCTTAGATATAAACTAGTTGTTGGTTTACTTATATAATTAAATAAGTAATAAGTTTTCATTTATTAAAGGTAAATATTTTCAACTTTTATCAAAGGATGATATAAAAAAGTTATTAAATAGTTTACTTCTTTATACAAATATATAAAAATACAAATATTTATAATTTTTATAAATTAAAAATAAAATACAAAACATTGTTTGAATTTTAACAATAGAGACTAGATGTTATCATATACTATATATATAACTTTTTTTTTCTTTTAAAATATTTGATGATTGTAAACATATATTAAATCAAGATACATTTTTAATTTAAAAAAAATATTTTTTATATGATTATATAAACATATTTTTATAAAGCAAAGTAAGTCGAGCTTTAATTTTTTAATAAGTTAAAAATAAGTTTATATATATATATATATATATTCAGAAATTAAAAAAGTTTGTATGTACATATACACATAAATATTTGATAAAAATAATTGAATTTAAAACAATGAATTTAGCATATAAAAATGTTTAGTTAAAAAAAGTTATTTAAATATATGATATTTTTTAATATATATATATATATATATATTACTGTTAACATTTTTTTTTGAACTTTTTTTAATCAAAATTTAGTAAATGTTAATCATATTCTAAAATATGCCGACCAAAGAATTAAAAGTGATATTTTTTATTATGCGGATAGGGAATGTATTTTCTTACAACTTTTAAATACATTTTTAAAACATGTTCAATAAATTTTTCTTTTTAACTTTCTTAAACGGTATAGTTAATAAGTCCTAAAAATTTCCGGAGACAATAAAACATTTTTATTGCAATTTCAATTTGAAAAATAAAATCAGATTGAAAACTTAAAAAAATTACCCCTAATAAAACAGTTTGGAATTAGATTGGTAGAAATGAAAAAAAAAGTATTGCATATTTCCAATACGTCTTAAAGTAATCACATAATTGTTAAAATAATAAAAAAAAAGGGTTGTAAGAAGACATTAAAAAAATAGTTTTAAAATTGGAGTTAATGTTTTAACAGAAGGGATTTGAAGGGTGAGAAAATTGGATGTGTTAGAAATTTGTGGTTGTGGAGAATGATTAGAGGAAGGTGAAGGCGGCCGAGTGAAAGCGAGTGAACTCAGTGGGTTTTTACAAATAAGAATTCGATTTCGGATTGGGTTGTTCGTTTCTCTTCTCTTCTTCCTTTATTTCTTCAATCGCTTCATCTTCGTCTTCTTCTTCAATCGCTTCAATCAAAGCATGAGAAGAACAATTTGTTTGTAGAAGTTGTTGTTCCTCACTGTTAGGTGTTTCTTCCATCGCTCTCTTTTCAAACATGCTTCCGGCACTCTCTCAATTCAAGATTAACCATGTCGGGGCTAAATGCTCCCCTAACCCTATTCCCATGCTTCCCACGCTCTACCACACACGCCGGCCTTCACTTTGCCGATCCTCTTCATCCTCCGACCTCAGGAATATCTCCGGCCTCAAAATTACCGCCCACGTCGAAACCGACTCCACCAATCACTTGGAGCGTTGCTTTAACGCGCCCGTCGCTTCCGAGCCTGCCTCTATGAAGGGCGGCCAGTACGGCGCGTTCGGCGCCGTCACCTTGGAGAAATCAAAACTCGATTTATCGCAAAAGGAAACCTTTTCTAGCCCTGAGGTAACTCCTCTCTCTATTTTTAGTAACTAAATTAGGGTTTTCTTCCAAAATTTGTCGTTTGTATACTCTAGTTATGGCTTTTCCGTGTTTACCGAACAGTTAGCGGCACTTATACTTCTTTTATTTGTTATGTTTATCAGATTGAAATATCCGCATGAGAAATAAGGTGTCCAGTGCTTGTTTCAGGGTTTTCAGTATACGAGAAAGTATCATTAGTTTATTTTTATTTTTTGTTACTTGTCTAACAGTGTTTATCATTTCCGTAGCTACTAGTGGCAAGTGTGGCTGAAGAACTTAGTTAGATGCTAGCGTGTTAATTGAGAAGACTGAAGGTGTTGTGTACCAGTCCTTAAGTCTAAACTGAGATTGGATTAAACTTTTATGCGATAATAACATTGTTGCCATAAAGGATTACTGGTTACCAGGGTTTTAAATCAGTCGTGGATGCGGCTTCATTGTGTTTATTGATAGTGTGGGAAAGCATAGACAAAATGCTTGCGGTTGTAAATACTTGAACAAAATCGTGGTCGTGGACAGTATTTGCAAAATGAATATTTATACATTTCTATATAAATTCTTATACATGCATCTAAGATAGTAAAAGTAACCATTGTAACACGCATCTAATACTTAATAAGCTTAAATTCATAATTATAGATTTATAAGCATAAAGAGAGTCAATAACTAAGTTGATTCCCCATATAGAATTCTTAAATTACAAACAATTATACAAAACAACTTATAATACTGCATTAGTTTTTAGTGCCTACTCCAGAACCACTTGATACAAAACATCAGGCAGGTTGCAACTCCAGAACCACTTAGCATCTAAACAGAGCTGTATCTCACACAAATAGGGAGAGAAAACTGCACAAACCAAGGCAGAAAGAAACAAGAAGGAGGCAATGTTGCGCATGGGAGAGAAGAACTCTGATGTAGTGGAGGGAAGCTCTGATTGGGTGGTTTGTGCAACAGAGTATGGGGAAGGTTTGTGTGAAGTTGAGAAGACGTAGGTAGGGTGTGTTTTCATTATTTAGGACTAGGGGCTTGGGTTTTATGGGATTAGGCTTTTAGAAGCCTTTAAAGAGAAAACAAAATGCACGATTCCACAATTATGTATGTTATAAAACCGCATCAACATTAGTCTTGTTTCTTGATTCTTAGCTATTTTTTGAACATCCATCTTTCGCTCTAAGCCCCTCCCTATGCATCTCCAATTAATATTTTAATTTCAGGTGCATAATGTTCTGGCCAGAAGTTATATAGAGAGGAAACGTCTCCGTTCTTCCTTCTATGTTATCTCCTGACTTTATTAACTTGTAATGGGAGTCTATACGAGACCAGACTGGTCAGTAGGTGATGCTATGCTGGATCCTTTTAATGTTGTTGATTATGAATGCGTAAAAATGATCATATTTAGTCTAATATTACTGTTTGGTTTAAACTCTGTTTTTCAGTATTTCGTACATGGCCTATGTATGTACTTGGTGGATGGCGACTTGGATTACATGAGTGTTTTTTTAATGTTTTCATTAACAAGCTTAATATCTTGAAGTTCAGAATACTCCCAAAAATTTTAAATAAACCGAGTCCAATGGTATTGTGTAGTCCATTTAGCTGAAATTTATTGTTAGTATTTGGAAATTCATTTTTGGCCTTTTGTTTGCAGCTAGCCACTGGGGGAGGTGGTGGAGATATTGGAAAGAAAATCAATCATGGTGGTGGTGATGGAGGCGATGATGATGGTGATGATGATGATTACTTTGATGACTTTGATGAAGGTGATGAGGGAGATGAGGGTGGCTTGTTTAGGAGACGAATACTTTTTGAAGAGGTTAGAAATACTGTTCATTCTATGTAATGAGTTTTTCCTCCTTTATGAAGTATACAACTTCATTTGATGTTTCCTCTAGAATGAAACTCAGTCTGTCTTTGTTGTAGCTATTTGACCGAAAGTTTGTGGACGCTGTGTTAAATGAGTGGCAAAGGACTATGATGGATTTGCCTGCAGGGCTTCGGCAAGCTTATGAAATGGTACCATAATTTTCAGTTTAATTTTACTTGTTTAGTCCATTACGCATAGGGCTGCATACTGAATGAAGTTTGTTGTTTAGGGGTTGGTTAGTTCAGCTCAAATGGTAAAATTTCTCGCAATCAATGCAAGGCCAACCACCAGTAGGTTTATTTCCCGAACACTGCCTCAAACACTATCAAGGTCTTTCATTGGCAGGTAATTGGTTGTCTTGAAATATTTTATTCTAATATAACAACATTTGGGATCTAATGCCTCACATTTAACCCCAATTTTTTTCTCCTGAAATCATTAGGATTTAATTTGACTTTATCTTTACTGATTCTATTTTAATCCAGGTAATCAGCAAGAGTTTAATTTGCAGTAATGTTGGCCTCAATTGTTATTTTATTATAGAGAATGAGTTTGTGAGTTGGAAGAATACTTTTGAACCTAGAACTAAGATAGATTTTTTCCCCTTCCCCCTTCATTCCCATCAGATCTATTGAACTTTGAGCTTTCATTTTGGAGTGAATCTTTGTATAAACCACTATCTCGTATATTCATCTTTTATCGTGCAGGTTGCTCGCAGATCCTGCATTCTTGTATAGGTTTGTATTGGAGGAGGTAGCTACAGTGGGTTGCTCATTGTGGTGGGAGTTAAAAAATCGGAAAGATAGGTGTGTTATACATTTAAAACCGTTTGGAAGTTTGTCTGGTATTCTTAATGATGAATTAAAGTAATAATTTTTAACTTCAATTTGAATCTAGGATAAAGCAGGAGTGGGATCTTGCACTTGTGAACGTGCTGACAGCGGCAGCATGCAATGCACTAGTTGTTTGGTCCCTTGCTCCTTGTCGATCATATGGGAACACATTTCGGTTTGATTTACAAAATACATTGCAGAAGCTTCCAAACAACATATTTGAGAAGAGCTATCCACTTAGGGAATTTGATTTGCAAAAGAGAATCCAATGCTTTTTGTTCAAGGCTGCTGAGTTGTGCATGGTTGGTTTGAGTGCTGGTGCAGTACAAGGTGCTTTGTCAAACACTTTGGCCAGTAAAAAGGAGGGAAGGTGTGCAGGGTTAAAACTCAACCTTATTTTTTATAGTATTCAATTCATATAATTTTTTCATTAATCCCACGATTGATTAAATCACGAGTGCTAAATACTAATTTTAATCCTTGCATGTGTTGCGCCTGCAGATTATCTGTTACAGTCCCGAGTGTGAGCAGTAATGCGCTTGGTTACGGTGCTTTTCTCGGAATTTATGCTAACCTTAGATATCAACTGTTATGTGGGTTTGATAGAGCAATGATGACCCATTTTGATGTTATTGGAGTTGCCCTGTTCTTCAGCACAACATTCAGGTGTGGTTTTTTCTCTATCGAATAAGTTGTTCACCTTGAATCCATTTTACCATTTTAAGTTACATGGTAGAGGAAGAAATTATTTTTAAGATCTGTTTTTTTGAAAACTTATTCCGAATTTTATGCAGGTTCTTGAACGTTCAATTAGGAGAGACTTCTAAGCGTGTATGGCTTGGAGTTGAGGCAGATCCACTGGCTCAGTCGGATGACCTCTTGAAAGTGTACAACAGGACGTCTGAGAATGTAGAAACGCCATCCTCAAAATGGTTTATATCAAAGAATGCGGTTGTTTCTGGGCTTGGCCTCCTGGGCATCAAACAAAGGAGTGCAGACGGGACAGGTGCAGAATCCTCAGCTCCTAAAGCTCGGCGGAAAAGGATTGTTAGGAAGAAGGTTGCGGCGGGTTCTGCGTGATGTGACGCTGTCCAATTTTGCTCTTTGCTACTTCTGGAGTATCCTTGGGCGGTTCACTGGCTGCTCCATACTAAGTTGGGGGTTAATTAGTGGACCAACATTTTTTTATCACATTAACTGAGATTTCAGGAGGGTTTTGTTTCTAAATTTTGTAGGAATTCTTATATTCATCGTTTGCGCATTGCTATCTGATTCTGTACTATATATTTCGAATCGATTGAATAAAGTAGAGCAAGTATTTTCTTTCACCTCTTGCTTGTTCTCGTCTCTAGTCATTGATCCTATCTCAATGAATTCGAGTTTTATAGACCGTCTGGTATCACGAACGTAAGTTCTGAACTTCGAAGAATCTTGCCAATCTTGGATTTCATGAAAAAAAAAATGTAATAAAATCATATAAAATAGTAGTAAAAAATGGAATTATATGAAATAAGAGAAAAGCAGAAATGGGGAAGGAAGTGCGTGAAGTGATGGTGCAGGGCGGTAACGTTGAATTAAAGGAGTTATATGAAAGGGAAGGGAAAGGGTAAAAAAGAGTTGAGTAATATCGAGAATGGGTTTGATGTCAGTGGTGGAGTGGTGGGTGGTGTACCAGCCAACAATCCTGAACTTCACATGGAACCCTCCTCACACACCCTTCTCCTCCCCACTCTTCCTATCTCTCTCGATCATAACATACCTCTCACTGACTCTCCTCCTCACCTACCTGATCCCTCTCCCACCCATTCCTCCCCGCCTCCTGAAGCCCATCACCGCCCTCCACAACCTCACCCTCTTCCTCCTCTCCCTCTTCATGGTCCTGGGCTGCGCCCTCACCCTCCTCACCCACACCCCACACCTCCGCTGGGCCATCTGCTTCCCACCCGCCACACCCCCCTCCGGGCCCCTCTTCTTCTGGGCCTACGTCTTCTACCTCTCAAAGTTCCTCGAATTCCTTGACACCCTCTTCATCATCCTCTCCCGCTCAACCCGACGCCTCTCCTTCCTCCACGTTTACCACCACTCCACCGTCGTTCTCATGTCCTATCTCTGGCTCCAAACCTCCCAGTCCCTCTTTCCCATCGCCCTCCTCACCAACGCCTCCGTCCACGTCGTCATGTACGCGTACTACTTCCTCACCGCCCTCTCCTTCCGCCCCTCCTGGAAGCGCGCCGTCACCGACTTCCAGATCCTCCAGTTCATCTTCAGCTTCGCAATTTCTGCCCTAATGCTCCACTACCACTTCACCTCCGGATGCTCCGGAATTTGGGGCTGGTGCTTCAATGCCCTCTTCAACGCCTCTCTTTTGGCCCTTTTTCTTAATTTTCATCTCAAGAGTTATGCTAACAGGAGGAACACCGCCGACAAACGCATTCTTCACAAGGACTCCTGATCATTCTCTCCAGTAAGACGCAATTTAATTATTTATTTGTTGCATTTCAATGACACTGCTACTTGTTTCGTTTTCTTTCTCTTGCCTTACAATTCAACCCATGAAGCTTTTTTATTGTCTAGATTGATCATGTATTAGTGTTACAATTACAGTTTAAACCCTCATACCAGTTGTTGTATGTTTCATTCTCCTCCCTGCTTCCAACACCCAAATGAACGTTTTCCTGGTACGTTTTGGCCGCCACTTTTGTGATAAATCTTGATAAAAAAACTACTACTTCAAGAGGCTATCTCTGGAATGGGAAAAATTTTCTGTTTCAACACAAATCTTTAAAACTTGCGTCTTTATTCAGTGTTTCTGTCTATGGTGGTTGGACTCCATCTTGAAACTCTGTTCTTGAGAAATTGTGCTTTGAAAATTTGACTTTTTGATGCATGCTGTCATCTTTTTGTTTCTTCACTTAAATTGTGTTATTAGATTATTTGAATTTTAAAATTTGAAAGTTGCAGTGAATTTGGTTTTGAATAATATTTTAGTCTTTTAAATTACAATAAATTCAATGTTAATCTGTTAAATTTACTGTATATATAATATTGACAGTTAAAAAAAACAGTGTCGGAAGTTTAAAATGGCTTTTTCTTCAAATTTGAAACCTAAAATATTTACTTAAAAAAAAATGAAAAGACTGAAATCGGATACAACATCCTTAAACTTCATACATTAAAAATGGAATCAATGCCTATGTTTTCAACGTATCAGTGTTCACCGATTTAAGCTAGTGTATTATGTTGATGTTGGTTGTTTTATCATGTTTATATGATGTTTTTGGATAAATGTATTATTTTGCTATTTTATTTTGTGATTCAAGCTTCAACAGCCGTTCTCTTTAATCTTCCATTAGCTTTAAAATTAGAAGAAAAAATATGCAACCTTTGACCGTAGACCAAGTTTTTTATAGATTCACATAAAGTTTGAGTTATAATTTTCTTAATCTCAAATTTAAGTAAAACTAATTATGTATTATTTGTTGATATATTATATTATAATAAAATGTTTAATCCCTCACAATAGAAGACGGCCTGCATAGTTTATTCTACATTGTCAACTTTGATTATTTCATAGTCTATTTTTTTTTTGTCTTAGTTTAACATTTCTCATCACTATGTTTTAACAAGTTTAGTGAAATAAATTAATTTTAAAATATTGACCTAAAAATTAGGTTAAGTAAGACTAAAATTAAAATTATGTCCCAGTTAAATAAATTTCAATTCAATTATTTTGTAATTAAATTAATTGTCTGCAAGAAAAAAAGAAACACGTGTTTTCACCTGTGGAAGTTAATAATGTTACATATTTTTTAAGAAAAATAAGTTTTAAGTTTGTGTGTTTGTTTGTATGTGTTTTTTATGTTAATAAATATATTATATTAAAAGATATTTAAATATATATTATATTAAAAGATATTTAAATATATATTATTTTAAAATATATTTAGAAGTTAAGAAATACTAAATTATATTTAGAAGTTGAGAAAAAATAATAACATTCTTAAGTTTATAATTAAATTTTAAATAAAATCAATATTACAAATTATTAATAAGTTTAGAAAGTCAATGTATATGTAAAAGTGTAAAAAGTAAATTTTGTAAAATTACAAAGGATATAAGATGTGAAAATATATAGAGTAAACTATAAAAAATATAAAGGATAGACTATGAAAAAAAAAGTTGAGTATATTTATTATAAATACAAATCAATATATGGATATATTAGACTCATATAATTAGTGTATCGATATGTTTGTGTAATATCTAATGCTAGATTCGTATAACAAGTATATAGATACACTCATTTAATGGGTATTGTTATACTCATCTAATGTGTATGACAAACTCGTCTAATATGTATTGCAAGATATGTCTAATAAGATAATAAATAGAGTTATCTAATGTGTATTAATTAGTGTATAGACAAATGTGTGTTGCAAACCTTATTTAATTAGTGTATAAATATACTCACTTAATGTATATTCTTATACATTTATCTAACTAATGTATGTAATTACTTATTTTATGTTTTATGCACGAAATTCTTATCTAATTAGTGTATGAATAGACTCTTCTAATGTGTATTGTTAAATTCATTTAATTACTATAAGGACATACTCGTTTAATGTATATTATAAGATTCATCTAATTAGTGAATGAACATACTCGTCTAATGTGTATTAATAAACTAGTTTAATCAGTGTATGTTGTTGGTAGACTAGTTTAATCATTGTTTGGATAGACTCCTGTAATGAGTATTCTTAAACTCAATCAATGTATGAAATGTGTCTTTAATGTTTTTTTTTTGTTATATTTGTCAAGTGAATCTATGGACAAACTCGCTTAATGTATGTTGTTAGACTTACATTAATAGACCAATTTAATGTTTTTTGTTATATTTGTTTAATCATGAATGTAATGACTTGTTTAATATTTTCTATTATATTCATCTAATTAGTTTATAGACAAACTTGTCTAATATATATTTCTAAACTTGTCTAATGTTTTTTATTATACTAATATAATCAATATATGGGCAAATTGGTCTAATGTGTATTGCAAGATCTATTTAATAATTTTTGTTATATTTGTTTACTTAATGAACGAAATGACTCATCTAATATTTTTTACATTACTCGTTTAATTCGTACAAGACAGACTTGTTTAATGTATATGATTAAACTCATTTATTTATTGGTTACATCCGTTTGATGAAGTAATGTGTGAATGTATTTTGTGATAAGATTAGGAATGACAAAAAAAATTGTGCCAGCGGATATTCATAGATAAAATCCGCTATAGATAGTTAGTACATGTGGATATTTACTATTCACGGATTGTGGGTAGCGGGTATTTTAATATCCGCTTATAAACAGATCGAGTGCAAATATTATGCTACCTGACTTACGGATACCCGTTACTGTAAAAAATAAAAATAAAAATTTAAAATATATTTAATTTAATTTAAAATAAAATTAATTTATATTTTATTAAATTAAATTAAATTAAATTAAAATTAAATTAAATTTTACATTTTATTTTATTTTATTTATATTAAAATTTAATATTATTTTGCAATTTTATTTTTAAATTATATAAAATATTTTTTTTAGTGAATTTTAAAATATCGATGAATTTTTTTAAAACATGTGGATGGCAAACATATTATAGATAAAATTTTCATTTATGAATCGAGTTACAATACACATTATTCATACTCGACGTACCGGTCGTAATTTTCATTTATCAATCGAGTTGCAATACCACTTTAAAAGAACATAGAAGTGGGTAAAATTTTCATAATTAAATCGTGTGTTTTTTTTCTAAAAAATATTTGATTTTTAAGTTGAGTTTAGATAATGCTTTATTCAATTATTAGTATAAGTTATTATTGAGGTACGGAAAAAGTATTGTATTTACGATCCAATATACAAAATAGATTTAATCGTGATTTTACTATACCAAAATAAATTAATTTTAATTTTGTTGTTAATTATTATTTTTACTATAAAATTATTTATTTCAAGGATTTTGAAATTTTTTACTAAATACCAGCAGATTTCACTTAAAGCATGTATACTTTTGTTAGTACCTTATAAGAAAGCATTTATAATAAAGGGGAAACTTGTTTTGATTCATATGAAAGTAAAATTTGAGTTAAAAAAATTGGACATTTTAAATGACCTCATGGTGCTCAAAATGAGGATTAATACTGCTCAATTTACATATATATATATATATATATATATATATATATATATAAAACAAATTTATATTTTTCTATATTACTAATGTTTTGTTTTGGAGGTAGTACATGAATCCTACAAGTGTATG